GCCGGTGAGCTCGCGCTCGCCGAGGGCCTTGCGGATCTGCTCCATGTCGCGGGCGACGGAGGTGGTGCTGAGGAAGCGGGGGACGTCGCCGTACTTCTGGAAGCAGGCCTTCATGGTGGCGTTGTTCATGGCGTCGGCGAGGTTGAGCTGGCGCTGGGGGTTGGAGACCTCGAGGTACTGGCCGGTGAGGAGGGACCAGTGGTCGCGGTCGACGTCGTAGGGGAAGCAGGAGATGGAGGGGTGTGTGGTGTTGACGCCGCGGGGGTCCCAGCCGAGCACGTCGAAGGTGCCGTTGCTGAAGCGCTTGGAGACGCGTTCGGCGGCCGACCAGGCGTAGGACGTGCCGCTGCCGCCGGGGCCGCCGGGCTCGATTACGATGGTGCGCTTGCTCTTGGTGCCCGGGACGGGGTTCTTGTATGCGTCGAGGGGTTCTCTGATGCGGGCGAGGCCGGAGACTTGGTACTTTGTCACGGCCAGCCGGACAATGCGTGTGTCGGAGTCATTGGTGTAGTCGAGAGGCACGTCGAGGTATCCGCAGAGGTAGATACCGCGGCCCGCGTAGGGATTGCGGAATTCCTCGGTGGACGTGGTCTTGTTGCCCCAGCTCCAATGAGATGGACGAGGGTCAAAGAGCGCTTCCCACGTATCCTCGGGATGCGGGTCGTTGAGGGGAGGCGGGAGAGATGTGTTGGTGCAAGGGATGAACTTGAACGGGTCGTCGGGCAAGGGAAACCGGCCGTACGGAGACCCCTTGAGATGGACGACCGAGGCGAAGTCGTGATGGTGCTCGGGGTGCCTCCAAGACTTGAGGTCCTGCTTGTGGAGATACCAGCTCGCGGCGCCCAGCAATGCAATGGCGCCGCCGGCTATCAGCCACTTTCCGATGGCTGATCGGTTGTGTCGCCGGGCCGGCTGCACGCTCGCGTATGCTTGCTTCTTCTCCATGTTGAGTGTGATCCACGCTGACTCTGCTTCGTGAACCCAACAATCGCCCCTCAATGGCGGATTTACTGATTATAAGTACAAAACAAATAAGACGTAAGCCCGACGCGGTGACTGCAGTGGTGACGAGGAAAACGCGTTTGAGACGACGTCGCTCGCTGAGGGGTTTCGCAAGCCTCGCGGCGTTCGCGAGCTCTGGTTGGCTCGGCTCGTTGCAGGCTGTAACGGCCGGCTTATGTCAGCTTCGGCCGGCCGAGTCCGGCTTAGCGCCCGGGCGGTGTGGGGATCTCTGGTTCCGATTTGCCGTTGCGGAGCCCACCAAGGTCTCCGGACACGAAGCTGTGAGGAATTTGACGCATGTTCGTCTGTCGATGGTGTAAGCTTCGGCAAGAATTCATCCGCAGTAATTCTTAGTCTGCGTACACATTCCAAAGGTAGAGTATCTCTGGCTCTGGGGGTTAGTGCGGTGTAAATGGCGGCATTCATGTGCTTCATCCGCCCCGTCAGAATGCCTTCTTGATCGGCTTGAACCTCTGCCGGGTGGGGGCCGGAAAGGATGTTCGGGCTGTCGGCCGAGAGATGGACGTGGGTCGGACGGCATTCGATGTGGACCGGCGATTAATCTATCGCGTCCCCGCTTGATGGAGGTCCACCGCTACACGTGAGCTCAAGGTGATCAGCACCGGTCCCATTATAGGTCTGGACCGGAGCAGACAAGCCTTGGAAAGTTCTCTGGTTCTCGGAAAATGTCCCTGGAGGAGTGTATCAAACATGGTCTCTTTGGTTTGCAGGTTGCACATTCGTAAAAGGTCCTCCGTATCGCCATCACTATCAATCAGTCAATCTCAACCTCTGCACAAGTAGCGGCGTAAACACCCACAAGTCCGGTGTGACTAGGCTTACGAGGCAGAATATGCACATTCAAGTAATACGAGCGTCGAGAACTACGTTCAAGAAACTTGCTCATCTCGAGACTTTGAAGAAAGCTGCCGGATTGAGACTCGCCCTCATCTCGACCAGCCAACACGGATAGTGGAAAGTCTTCGGAACCTCCGTGGACAATTACCCCAGCGCAAATTCATTCGCCAGAATATCCCCAAAGAGATCTCTCCCATCAAGGCAATTACCATCTTCGAACGCAAGCCCGTTCAAGTCTTCCAAGAGATGATCAACCCCATCACGTGTAGTCCCATCGCGAGTCAACCGAATCCCCAAGGCTTGGCAAAAATCCCACCTTCCGGCGCTAGCCGCCCAAAAGTCGCCGTCGAAGCCGGAACAACGGCATTCGCTCGCAAACTCAAAATAACAATACTTCAAGCTTCACAGTCCGTGCAACACAGACCGATCAACGGCCTCACTGGATGCCAAGAAGTGCATCACGGCAACGCGGCCGGCACCTCCATCACTCATCTCAAAGTCGAAAAATGACACAGATTGCCCCGTGGGATCCAGCCGCCAGGTACGGAAATCTCCGAAGCGGCTCGTCACTTGTGTTCTTTGCCCCGGTTCGTGAGTGCCAAGAAATTCCAGCGAGATGCACGCACAAAGGTTTGCCAAACCCCAACGCCAAGACCGCCACCGTGGCCGAGCCGGGCCATCGCCAGGCCCGACTTTTCGCAGAAGGGAGGAAGAAGAGAACAGTCATGCGTTGGCGTGAGACGAAAAGTCTTGGCTGTTGTTGTGTGTCTTGTCCGCTGGCGTTGGCGTTTGTTTGCCAATGGTCTTGGCATAGGGCGCACCGCGTGTACCTGCGACCGATGAGACTCGCAGACGGCAGCGAGGCGGAAAGCGCAGTCTGGCTCAAAGGACAAAAAAGTGTCACCGCCTGCTACCCGAGTGTTTCTCGCGAGATGTCCTGAGGGACGGCTTTGTCGCACATCGTGTACGGACACGCAAACCCCAGAAAGCCCAGGAGCATATTAGCGAGATTTTTCCTCGGCGCCAATCTTTGCCCAAAACAAGCGCGCTTGGTAATGCCAGACCTCCCAAGAGAGCCCACGGGAATTTTCTGCAGATGTTAAACCTCAGACAATGACTCTCTATCGCCCTGGCGCCCAGGCACAAAGTCGACAAAAAATATGAAGAAATTGTCACCGAAATCTCGATGAAATTCGTCATGGGGGGAGTAGGGCGCCTGTCGATCAGTCACGGCCGTCTGTGGTCCTCGCCGGCAGCGCTTGGCGCGCCAAGATTATTTGCGCTGATCTCGGGGTCTTGGGTCTTGGGGGAAGGTGTTAGAGAGCAGAGCAGAGCTGAGGAGCATGATTGCGATGGACCCTGAAGGTCTGTACACACGGCAGAGTGGTGTCTTGGCGCAGAGTCAGCTCTGATGGTTGATGTTGACGGCCTCGTCTTGCTTTTTCGAGCAACGGGCGCTGCGACTGTGACGGTTTGTTCAGGGTACTTTCAGTACCTAGGTCGTGATCTTATTCTGGAGCGACACAAGTCTGCCGCGGCACGGCCAGTCTCGAACGCTCCGCGAGAAACGCACCCTTCCGCAACGTTGCCGCAAACAGGGGCGTGTCTCGGCACTTTCCCACCGCCTGCATCGTGGTAGACAGCGGATGGTTGCAGTTGGCGTCTTGCAGCGAAGCAGACGGCCACTCATTATGATCAGGTTGAAGGGAGAGGCACCAGGTCCAATCACCCGCTGCCCAGACACCACGGCCGTTTGCACTACAAGACACACTACCACCACCACCGTGAATGCGCATCCCGACTCTTGGCCAGGCGATAACCAAGATGGCCAATTTCCTTTTCCCATCACCCAAGAAGTCTAAAGAGCAGCCTAGTTCGCGATACGTCACATCATCGGGTGGAAGCTGAGGTATGCCGAGCAGCGCCAGACGCACATTATGGATGCCAATGCCGCCAATGCCTCTCCCCAAGACGCACCTAAACGACGTCCAAGACCCCCAGAATTCCACCGCTGTCTCGTCTCTGGCGCAAATGCCGCCGACACGGCACCGCATTTAGGTACACGCGCAGGCCCAGATACAGCTGTAACACGCCCCCAAGAAAAGCCCAGGCAGCCCGCATGTCGCTGTCCTCACCGTCCCCTCTCGGCGGCGGGTGTCGTGATTGCGCAACAGCAGGTAGAGAGAGTGCCAATGCCAATGGGCGCTGCGCTGGCGTGTCTGCCCTCCCCATGTCGCCGGCCTGGCCTGGCCTTGGCTGCAACACCTCCCAAGAGTGGCCTATTTCTTGTGCGCTTCATGCGAAGGCTCGGCTGTCTTGTGCCAGGTAAAGGACAACTGAGGTGTCCCTCTGGTTCGGCGTTGGCAGCGTGGTACATACATTCATTGCCCAGCCCAGCAGGATCCCCCAAGGGAAGATAAACCTTTCCTCGGTCTTGGCTTACATGCCTTTCTCACATTCGACGCACCTTTCATCTGTACACACGCACTGAAGAGAGGCCAAGCGCAGCGCCAAGCAAAAGCACATCCCCCAAATGAAAATACGTAAAACCCTCTTCGCCCCATCCCCCTAGGTACAGAAAGCCAAGGCGGCCCTCAGTGGCCCCTTTCGGAGTCAGTGACCTGATAGCGCGACTTGGCGGCAAACCGCAGCGAGACCCGCGTCGCTGCTAAAAATTTCCGCCCAGCGACTTGGCTCTTGTGGTGTTTTTTTTTATTTGTACTGGCTGTCCTTCGCCTGTTCTTCCTTTTGGACGGCTCCGGTTTCTTGGTTTTCTCTTGGTAGAGAAATGGTTCGGGCGTGATCAGAGCTTTTTTGCTCGGCGTCTCTGGGCTTTTTTCCCCTTCAAATCTGGGCAGCTAATTCAAAAGGTCGACGAGGGCCACCGAACGTTTCCATCTCTCTCCCGACTTCCCGATCCATCGCAACCCAAAGGACCGACGTCATGTGGGATTCATCTTGAGCCCCCATCCATTCATCAGCATCTCCGAAGCCACCCCCGGCATCATCACCACCACAGCATATGGATTTAGAGACGGCATCCACGACCCATTGAGTTCGCACAACCAGGAGGAACATAATCACCAGAGACGAAGTAGAAAGAATCCTTAGAGATCAAACCCCCAAAAACCACAACCAAAATGTCCCTCCACGCCAGCGCCTACAGCCAGCCCGGCTACTCCGCCCCGCCCTACTCCGAGGCCGGCTACCACCACCCGCCCGGCGGCCAGATGTACTACTGTCAACCCCCCGACACGGCCTCGTCGACGCACAGCTCGCAGCAGCGCTACTGGTACGGCCAGCACCCCTCCTGCGCGCCGCCGTCCCCCGAGGCCGACCGCTTCAACCGCAAGCGCCGGCGGTGCACGTACATGTACTACGTCCTGCGCCAGCTCGCCATCGTCGTGCCGCTGGTCGTCGTCTTCCTCAACATCAACATCTACGTCTCGCGGCGGGGCAAGTACCTCAACGACGACACGAGCCCGAGCGATCCGATCTTTTATGCCATGTGGTTATCTGTGCCGTTGGTGCGTTTTGTCTTCCCTCACGTCTCGTGTGTGCTGTGACGAAGCAGAAAGCTGACTGCCGCAGTCCGTCCTGATGATGCTCTGGTCCTTCACGACCGTCATCTTCCGCAAGCGCGCCGAGCACCAGCGCGGCGGCATCCCGAAACACGTCCACTTCGGCATGGAGCTGTGCTTCTCCCTCGGCGCGACCATCTGCTGGATCCTGCTGGTCATCCAGATCGAGTCCAAGAAGAGCAACGCCTTCTATGCGTATCCGTACATGCGGTACGAGGCGGCGCTGGCGTTTCTGCTCGGGCTGATCATGTAAGTTGTTGTGGTTGTTTGGGGCGAGACGAAGAGACTGACGGGCGGCAGGTTATCGGAATACGGCCTCCTCTTCCGCGCGTGGTTCGAGTTCAGCAACGACAGGACGCGGCTGGAGGACCAGGCTGCCATGGTGCAGGTCTGAGTCCTTCTTCATTGGAACTTTGTGTGTACGATTACGGGAAAACAGCGATTTCAGCATGGCGTTAAGGACGGACGGGGCATCCGAGGAGAACCGGACGAGGGACGGATCACCAACGCATTGTTCTGGTCGATTGCATTATTTCTGTTTATTTTGGAGAGAAAAACCCACAAGATACCCCGATAAGCGTAAAAGATACCATTTAATCAACCTTTTCTCATTTTCACATCGCAGTCTCTGGAGTAGCGACTTATGCCGTAGTCACCTCATCTGACGGGCATTCAGGTATGCTCCGAGCGAAAGTCGGCTGCGTGATTACATTCATTTTCGAGAGAGAAAAGAGATACCTCGGCGTAAAAGATATCATTTAATCATCGTTTTCTATTTCACATCGCAGTCGCTTGGGTAGCGACTTATGCCACACTAACCTCGGGCAGGCCTTCAGGCAGGTTCTGGGTCAGAAAAGGGAACAACATCCCTTCAGTTGCATGATTTCACTTATTTTGATGAGAAAAAAAACCCGCATCAAAGACACCATCCACTCACCCATCCATCCTCACCTCCCCCTCCGGCGCCTCCAACCAGCCCACCCCCACGGCCCCAACAACCCCCCCGCAAACACCACCGCCCCAAACAGCGCCGTGACCGCGTACACCCCAAACGGCCCCAACGCCCCCATCCCAGGCGGCGCCCGCAGCGCAAACCCGTCCGCACCGGGCATCCCCCCCAACACCGTCGCCGTCGCCGCGCCTTGCCCCTCTTCGGTAGTCACACCCGCCGGCACGTCCGCGCACCGCTCCGCATCGCACCACACCGTCGTCGCAGCCCCGTGCATCTCCGTATCCGAGCGCGGATCGTCCGCCGCGTACGCCACCCCCGCCAGGCGTATCTCGGCGCGCGAGGCGGCGATGGCGTGGCCCGTCACTTCACCCTTCAGCGTCGTCGTTGCGCCGGGGTAGGTCAGCACCCGCGAAGAGGTGAGGGAGGCGATGCAGGCTGATTCTCTACACCCGTAGTCCAGAACTCTGTCCTAATCAGCAATGTGAAGTTCGCAAGGGAGGGGGGATGTACGTCGGACAGCAGAGCACACCCACCACCGCCGTCTGCCACCGCTCCGTGGCCGTCAGGGGCGTGAGGCTGTTATCCCACCCGGTGCTCCAGCTCACGCTCGGCTGGGTATGCGAGGCCACGCGGTCCGTCGCGCTGCAGGCGGGGGAGAAGCCCGCGGGGCAGCCGTCCCAGTGCCACGCGCGCAGGGCGGCGCACGCGTCGGGGGCGGCGGTGGTTTGCGGGGCGATGCTGCATTCCGGCGGCGGGGTGACGCGGTCGGAGGACATGGTGATGGGCGGGTGGTGGTGGTTCAGGGTGAAGCTGTATCCATGGCTTGGGACGCTGCTTTTTGGGTTGATGCAGGTGAGTGTAGGGAAGGTCACTGGTCAGTCGATTTTAGGCGCGTCTGCGACCCTGCGGCACGGCGTCCCGTCGCCGCGGTGCTGACATTATCTGCACATTTCAACGACAACCTCACCATAGGTTTAAGTTATGTCATGAAATGATGAGTGAGTGTGAACATGAGATGAGCCACGAGTCATGAATCTCAGTGACCAAAACCCCCAGCACCGATGAGATCACACAACACATCGCACCACACGCATATCCGGATTACATAATATTGGTAAGGCTCGGTGAGCGGCATTCCAACATCACCGACCGAGAGGTGAAGGGAACAAGCTTCGGTGAGGTCCCACTCTCTCCCGCGGAGACCCAGATCGGGAAAAGCCGCTGACGAGAAGTGGATCCTTTCTGGGCGTTGATTGGTTGCATTGGCTCCGTCGATGGATCCGATTTGCTCATGGCCGTCTCAGGCACGTCACAGTCGCCGCTGGGCCAATCGCAGGTGGAGATTTCCCGCGATTCCCGACCCGGCCGAAGCCCGTCGTCGCTGGCTGTCGCTGTCGGATTCCCCATCAAAGAGCCCCCCCAAAGGCACCACCCTCACCCAACGCACCAAGGACCCCGCCGTCGTCACTGGTCCTCGATCCGACCAAACGTTGCATCCAGCCCGATCTCGCCCTGGTGTCTTTATTTTTTTATGTTTGCCCGCTGCATAATCTGGGCCCAACAAGAGGCAGAGGCGACCACCTAAGAAAAAAATCTCCACTCTCTCAGTCAACTTTCTTCCGTCCCGCAATCGAACCAAGCGAGCGAGCGAGAGATTAGCCTCATCAGCCTCACCCAGCAGCCTCCCTCCCGCCGCAAGCCCCCCCTCACCCCTCTGAAGCGGGCAGAGAGCGAGAGACCGATACAGTCTCAATAATGATCAGCCATGTCGACGAGAGCCATTAAGAAGAGCGCCTTCTCGTGCGAGCCGTGTCGCCGGCGCAAGGTACGTCTTTGCCTTCCCTTTTTATCTCCGATGCCTTTTTTTCCCGTTGCTGTTTCACCACTTCCCCTTGCGCTGTTGCTTTTCCGCTTTCCCGCCTCCGCCACCGGCACCCGGCACCCCTGCACCACCACTGCCGGCCGAGCACGCGGCGCCTGCGATGCAAGGCCGCCTGTCGAATGATGACCATCTCGGCCGTGAAGGATTGCACCTATGGTCGACCGGGCGGTCCGGCGGTGCGTGGTTCGATGTGGTGGTGCGGCGGCGTTGGCGGGGGTGGGACGGACGTCATCATCGAAAACCCAATCTCCGGACACGGCGTCGGACGCGGGGGGCTGACCGGAACCGGCATGACAGGTAAAATGCGGCGGCGAGCAGCCGACGTGCAACAGATGCGCCGCACGCGCGGATGAGTGCGTCTACAAACTGTGAGACAACCCACACCCGTCGACGCCCTCCCTTACCCCTCACCTCACCGTGCAGCCGGGCTGACCAACCAAGCAACCCGACGCTGTCGTACACATCGCGCCTCGAGCAGCGCATCAAAGACCTCGAGGCCCAGCTGGCCGCGGCGCGGGTCCACGCCCCGGGCCCCTCGGAGCCGTCGCGGACCTCGTCCCCCAGCCTGGGCCCGTCCGCGGGCCAGTCGCCCATGACGGATCCGCACCACGTCGAGTCGCAGGATGAGGAGTCTGTGAGTGAGAGCTTCAAGGGGCTCAAGGTTGACGACAAGGGCGGCATCACGTATCACGGTGCTACGAGTTTCTTTCAGCTGCCGAGCGATCGCCCGCTCGGGTCAAGAGATCACACGTCGTCGTCGGAGCAGGCCATCCAGCGGCGGGAGAGGCTCGTCGCCAATGCTTGGCAGCAGAGGGCTCTTGAGAACATGTCCGAGATACCGGTGAGTTTCTTACCGTGTGACTGGCATACGTTACCAGGACTGACGGCCTGCACAGGAACCATTCGGATACCTGCTCAACGTGCATTGGTGCTGGATCCAGCCGCTTTTCAACTTCATCTACAGGCCCGCCTTCACCCGTGAGTGCATCTCATGTGAGCTTGCAGCTGTCGTGCTGACCCCCGCCAGGTGATATGCAGACGATGGGGCCGTACTACTCTCATACCTTGATGAATGCAGTATTATCTCACTCCATCCGCTGGGGCCGGAGTGATCCCGCCACCAAGGAGAAGCTCGAAGAGTTCTACGACGGCGGTGCCCTCTTTGGCAAACACGCCCGGAGCATGGTCTTTGAGGAGCTCAGCCAGGGCGTTTGCTCAATCCCTACCGTTCAAACGCTGCTGCTGCTGAGCGCACAGGAGTGTAGTGTTGGAAACAGCGCCCAGGCGTGGACATACAGCGGTCTTGCGTTCCGCATCATCGACCATCTCGGCATCTGCGTCGACGGCCAGAGGTATCCGGGCTCGGTCCAATTAGCCGACGAAGATGTCGAGATCCGGCATCGCCTCTTCTGGAGCTGCTATTTCTGGGACAAGATGATTAGTCTGTACCTCGGCCGCTCGCCGTCGCTGCAGCAGACGTCGGTGTCTCCGCCACAGATTATGTGTAGGTCAGCCTCCCGTCAGGTTTGTTCCCAAGCTGACACCATCAGTTGATGACTCCGCCGAGAATGAATCCTGGACCCCCTTTGGCGTCGTCCCGGAAGGCGGCTGGAAATACCCCCCCTCGGCTGCCCACTCCACCTCTTGCTTTACGCAAATGTGCCGTCTCTCGGTCATCTTCAACGAGATTCTCGTGCACATGTATGACCCGGTTCGTCCTAACAGCGAGGCCGAGATGCAAGAGTGCCTGGCCAAGCAAGAGCCCGCTCTCCGCCAGTGGTGGGATGAGCTGCCCCCTCACCTGAAGATGGAATCCACTGCGCTCCCGGCTCTCGCGCCGCCGTCCCATATCATTACCCTGAAGTAAGCGACCCTTTGCGCGTCATAAAACTCTGGCTGACGCATCCCAGCGCACTTTACCGCACGTTCAAGATCCTCCTCTACCGGCCGATGCTCTCCCAGCGCGGGCGCGTCGGCGAGAATCTCCAACCGGTGCAGCGGTACCTCGTCGAGTGCGTGACGACCGCGACCTCCATCATCGCCATCTTCGACCTCTTCTGCCGCTCCTTCGGCATCGGCCACTGCGTCCTTTCTCTCTCATACAGCGTTTACATTGCCGCGTCCATCTTCCTCCTGCAGGTCCAGTCGAGCGTGGAAGACACGCAGGCGCTCCGCCGGCTGGAGTACTGCGTCCGCATCCTGGCGTCCGTGAAGCGCATCAACCCAGGTGAGTCTCCACACTTTCATCTCCACTCCAACCAGTGTCAATGACGTCGCTGACCCCTCCGGAAAAGTCATCAGCAGCGCCCTCAACCTCATTACCCGTGAACTCGCCAGCCTCGGCATCGATGTTGGCGCCCTCGGCCTCTCAAAAACAGCCGCCACGCCCCCTATGGCGACCTACGGCATTCCGCAGGCCAGAGAGCCTGGCGTGCCGCCGGTCTCCGTTCCGCCAGGCCCAGAGGCGACCAGCTCACCCGAGCAGCTGTACAACTTCCCGTTCGTCGATACGCTCGGTCCGGAGGCGTTCGCAATCGACCCGCAAGTGTTCCAGAATATGTCGGCGATAGAGCCGTTGAGCGTCCGGGTTGGCGCGATAGAAGAGTAAAATCATGCGCTCGAAACGTTTCCGACGTGGGCGCCTCGAAGGTCGCCTTTGAAATTGCCCGCCATATCGCCAACCTGAATCGGCCCGTTTGCATTGTTTGAATGGCTTAGTTCCTTTTGATCATAAGTTTTGAGGGGACTGTCCCAACAGTCACCAGACCACGATCAAGGAAGTCAACATGGTGACAAGACTCTTCGCGGCATGTTATCTTGTAGTGCTAGAGACGCGGCCAGAGGAAGACCAGCATCTAGTTTCGACAGCCTCCATCCTCGTTTTGGTGTTGAAATCTTCGTCGAAGCATACCTGTAAACAGAGTCAGCAAATACGTTCAAAATTATAGAGCCAACAGTTTCCCAACAAATACCGCAAGTTTGCCAAGGCAGGCACATTCTGCTCCTAATTGACGTCCCAGCATCCCAACGTGTGGAACATCGAAAATTGAATCGCTGGTGCCGTGTAAGTTCCGGAATCAAAGACAAAGCCGGCAACTGATGATTTCTCTCGTGGGTGCGTTCCCAGCAGTCTGCTCGATTCTCGTACTGGCCGGGATTATCTATTGTCGTGTATGAAAGACGAAGAAGCAAACCATCGTTTTGGCTGCATCGGTGGCAGGCTTGGATGTCTGCACATGTCGACTCTACGGCGATTCAAAGACAGAGTGTCGGCTTCGCAAACAATGGGTTATCTTGCCAGAGGGACAATGCCTGTCAGGATTGCTGTTCCTCGAATTTGTATTTCCGTCGAGTTTCTGCAAGCATCCGTTAGAAAAGTGTCAATAGCATTGCCCAAAAAAATGAATCATGTTTGTATCAAAGAAAGAAAAGAAAAATAAGGCTCCAAGCAGCACATGTGATGCGTTGTCGTACGTTGCTATTTTCAGCAAGAAAAAGAGACATGGATCCTGAGACTTTGCAGATTTACTAACACTGACCGGCGTTTCTGAAACCCCCGCAACACCAGCCCGCCGGGTTCTTACTCAAGACACCGGAACCCAGGCTTGCGAATGAATCGGCCTTGCTGATCCGAACCTCTTTTGGACGCAGATGATGGGCTGATCTGACACTTGGGAATTCTCAACCTCGGTGTTTGTCGGTTAAGATAGCCGTGGAGTTCGGGGACCCGATTTCTTTGAAATGAGGCGCGTCATCATCTTGTGAGAAACCAGCTGACGTTTCTGCCGCGGGGTTATCATGTACGTGCTACCTGCGAAGAGGGAACACAATTGGGGCCGGAGGCTCTCGTGATGACTTTCCTCCACAACCGCGGAGGTCAAGAGGGCCGCAAGCACCGGAGTATGGCCGTCTGGGCCGTTTAGGCGACGGTGGCTGATCCACTCGGCCATGTTCCGAGAAATTTTGGGCGCTTCGGTGTCTGGCTCTCGCATACTGCGTGGGGGGTCTGAGGACTTGGTCCCTTTCGTTTTTCCTCTCGCAAAAACCATGATTGTAACGAGATTATTCGGCCATCTTCCGCGCATGCAAATGTCTGGATAAGCTTTTTTTTCTTGCTGGTATCCGTGGGTTTTTTCAGGCGATGTTTGAGTTGGGACTGATGAGCGGGCTGGGCCGCTCGGCGGACGTGCGTGGCGGCGCTGTGGTCTGGGATATTTCTTGGATCCTCCACTGTGATGACCGTTTATTTTAGCGGCGGTCTCGCCTCCTCGCTTCTTCGGTAATCAGATCAACGGCGTGCGTCGCAAGCGTTTTTTCCTCTCCAGGTTTTTCTGCGCACCCGCCCGTCGGAAGTTGACCGAGACTCAACCGTCGACGGTGAAGATGCGTCTGGGCCGCGAGGCGCGAGGTCGAGGGGAAAACGGAGGGAAAGTCTGGATTTCTTGGAAAATCTGGGGGCACTAGCGCGTATATGCGAGATGGGCGTCCGGAGGTTACACGCCACCCCCTTCCTGATTGCCATTTCTTCCCAGTCTCGCAGCGAACGGGACACGTGCCGAAATGGGGCGCCTGTTTGGGGCCAGTCTCGGGGTATCTTTGGCGGCGGAGGACCGAAGTTCCGCAAGCGTAGGCCGGGGTGGTGTTTGGTCCATGTTGATATTGGCGGGATGGTGACTGGCTCGGGGGGGGTGTTGAGCGGGTTGCGTCCTGCGTTCGTCTGGCTTGTGACGGCGCGAGCGTGGATGATTGCGTGCGATGAGCTGGCCTGGGATCCATTGCAGATGTCACGGCCAGGGTCCGAGGAAGGGTGGTTGACGAGGTTCGGGAGGGGGATCCGATCCCGATGGACCTGGGGGATGTGAACCCATGCCCACGATGGGGGAGGACCTTGGATGTTGCAAATTTTTGAGTAATTTTGAGTGGTTTCCGCCAAGACTGGAGATGCGATGGCAGGACGGATATGGAATGATTTTCGCGGGAAGTTGTCCGGAGACTTTTGGCGTCCCCGCGTTCAATTTTTTTCCTTCGTCTATTCTGCGCGTCTCGCTGTAAGTTTCGCTGGTTTTACACATGCAAAAAGCGCAGGGAAGAAAACCGTTCGCGAGGATCGTGAAGTGGGGACGTGGTTCTGCGCCGACGCCCGTTGGCGGATACTCGTTTCCGGGCTGGGGGCAGGTTGAATGTGGCTCCGGGTCACCGGCATCCTCGCGGTGGATGGCCGAGGTTGTTGATCTGATGCGGACTTGGGCCGAGGCGGCGAGCATGGCGAGATGGTGGTCCAACTTTGCTGTAAACTCTAATGTGTCGCAGGGTGAGATATGGAACATGGCCGAGATTGTTGAGGATGGATATGCGAATGGAAATGGAGATGGAAGGTTGTGGTTGCGGTTGTAGTTGGGAGGTGTCGTTGATGGATGAACGGAAAGAGATGCGGAATGGCTTAGGCCAAACTTTAGCAGGCGCTGGCTGAATGCGTGCCTTCCCTTTATCTAAATGCTGCGCCTGACCTTATGTAATCCCTAAATTGCCCCTTTGGCTCAGTGGTAGAGCGTCTCACTCGTATTCTTGCGAACTATGAGAAGGTCCACGGTTCAATCCCGTGAGGGGGCATTTATTTTGCTCAATTGGGTAAATTTTTGCTCTTGTAATGCTTTTTGTCTCACGTTTCACCTGGACAACTTTCTCGTTATGTCTTTTAATGGTCCTGTTGAGTTTGTCCAGGTGCCTGCTTATCTATAATAATAGTGCTTCACTACCTTAATAGAACAATAGCGATGTAAGTGTATATATGCTTACCCTAAGTAGGTAACCAACATTAGACTCAAACTTCATTCCTAAGAGCAACTTCGCATATAGAATTAATTAACTATGCAAACTGTCTTCCACTCCCACTTGTTTGCACTTGCCAATCGCGTCTTATTAAACACTACGACCATCTTCAATCTCAGCACACCTTAAACCTTACAAACTGAGCAGCGTCCTCGGCATACTTCAGCCCATAATTCTCATGCGCCTCCCAGCTGGTCCCCTGCGCGCACGCAGGATCGTTGTCGTTGCAATAGTCCCTCAGCCGCGCAGACCATCGATTAAGCGACTCCAGCTGCGCGCCCTCCCTGGGGAAGCCCTGGCGTCCTCGTGTCAGTCTTTATCCCTCCATTCCCGGGTTTGAATCTAAAACTCACCGATTGCATCCGCGCACCGACGAGCAAGTTGTACGTCTGGTTCGCAACGTGCCGCGGCGAGCCCCAGATAAGAGCAGCAGCAACTATCCCGCAGATCAGTCTCCACCAGCATATACATTCATCCGGCAGGCGCAGCAGCACAGCACTCACCGTGGTCCCCAGGAAACACGTCCGGCGCCATCCCCTCGCTCGCCTCCTGCGTGCAGTTCTGGCTCCTGAAGGTCCCGCCCCCGCCGCCGAGCACGTCCCCGACGACCTGCCCGCCCTGCGAGAAGCCGGACAGCACGATCTTGGAGCCCGGGCAGCGCGTGGCGTACGCGGTCACGGCGTCGCGCGTGCTGGCGATCCCGCCCTCGATGGAGTCGCAGTAGTCGTGGAAGACGGCCTGGTACTCGACGCTGGCCCACGTGCAGTCCCAGTCGGCGCAGATGGCCTCGGCGATGGGCTGCTGCAGGCCTGGGTACGGCTCGTTGGTGCCGCGGAGGAGGAGGACGTGGACGGCGGCGCAGGGGGTGAGGGGGCAGAGGGGGGACTGGGGGGCGACGGAGGCGGGGAGGAGGGCGAGGGGGAGGAGGGTTGTGGGACGCATGTTTGGAGCGGTGTTTTGGCGGGAGGGGGAGGGTGTGGGAGCCCGAGATTAGGGTAAGACGGGAGAGGAGAAGTGCGACGAGTGGTTTCTCATCTTTTTTGTTGGAACAAGACTTGGAGTTGTGTTCTTATGGGAATTGGCATTGCTGCTGTTCTCTCTGTTTGGCAGCCGAACATCCCCAGATTCGACGTCAGAAGCAACAATCTTTCCCCGCAAACCCCAGGTTTTCCATCCCGGTCTTCACGTGGAGCGAATCCCATCCCGTCGTCAAAACAAAAAGAAACGCCCAAAACAAGCTTGTTTCCCGCCGTGAAGTTGCTGGAGTTGTCATCCAGAGGCTATTGTTTCCTGATTCGTCCAGGCCTCGGAAGTCGGAGGGCCGGAACTCGGACAGGTGCTCTGTCCAAAAAAGCTGGGGGAGGTTGCAACCACACCGCACGCGCGCCGGCGTCTTGTCTCGGCAGATGGGCGCCGACCAGTTGGGACCTGGGGATTTCTGACCGTCCTGTCAGTCACCGTTCCCCCGTGGGACTCTGAGTGTGGGGTAAACGGCCTTTTTGCTGCAAAATGGGGAATTTGTCCGTGGAGTTTTTCTTTTGGTGAGGGCAACGTCCCAAGACCGCAGAGTCGGTGTCGACTGCGCCTGGGATTCCCCAACATGGCAGGACTGGACACACCAAAACCACCCTTTAAACACAATAGGCATGTCAACTGATGAGCTTCATTAAAGTACAATGTGACCAAACAGGCGAATATTCCCCAAAGACAAGACAATCCAGCCAACCCCTCAACCCTCCAAACACCGCAAAACCCGCCTTATCCCCCGCTACATCCCCCCAACATCAATCACGTACCCTTTCTTCCCCAGCACCTCCACCAAACTGTCCCAAACCCGCGCCTGCACCCGGCGTCCGGCCTCGTCCGCAGCCCATGCGGGCACCTCCATCACCTCCATCTCCGCCAGGAACGCTCCGTGGCTGGCCTCCCCGGCCGTCACGCCGTGCAGCAGCTTCCGGCTCCCCTGCTCCGCGCTGATCCCGTACCCGACGCGCATCACGCCGATGTACGCCCGGAAGAACCACGGCATGTTGCGCGCGAGGTCCGTCGCGCAGATGCCCGGGTCGAGCACGTTGATCACCACGCCCGTCGCGGAGACGGGGAGGAGAGAGGCGAGGTGCCGGACCATGTAGACCTGCATCAGCTTCGAGAGGGGGTATCTAAAGTCCGTCAGTGATGTGATGTGTTAAGTAATTGCAAACCATTTCACGCACCTATGCGCCCCCAGGCCCGTCTTCCGCTGATCCTCCCGAGTCAAACTCTCAAACAAATTCCCCTCCACGGCATCCAACCCGCCCCCCTTCGTGAAAAACGCCGTCCCGCTCGAGACAACGCTCAAACACGCCCTCACCCCAAACCTCCCCGCCGTCTCCCTTAGCTTCGGCAGCGCCCGTACCGCAAGCAGCCCGTTCGCAACCACATTCACCCCCACCATCGTCTCCAACCCGTCCCCCGTCCTGACAAACTCGTCCAGCGCCACACTAGCATTCGCAACCACCCCATCGAGCCGGTCCAACTCGCTCATCCGTGTGCAAAAGGCTTCGACGGAGGCTAAAGACGCGAGATCCAGCTCCCACACCTCGCCGGCGTCAGGCTGGCCCGTGTGCGCGCGGATAGAGGCGAGCGCGGCCTCGCCTTTGGAGGGCGAGCGCACGGCGAGGATGACGCGCGCGGCGTGGAGGAGGATGAGGTGCTGCGCGCAGTGGAAGCCGAGGCCGGTGTTGCTCCCGGTGACGATGTAAGTGCCCCTGGCGATGGCGGACGGCGGCGGGAGGGGGAGCTCGGCGCAGCTGCGGAAGAATGATGGGAGTGTCATGTTTCCAGTCCTTTTGGAGATTGAATTAGATATGACTAGAGTTTTGGGATATGAGATGATAGGTCTTGGCGGGGACGTGATGGTGTAAAGTTTATTGCGACGTTTGGTGTTAGCTCTCTGATGCTCTGTTACATTTATTCTTTCACATCTTTACATCAACATTGTCAGTATATATACCATTTTTCTCACTCTCGAAGTGATGCAGATACCTTCCATCGACGCCCATATCTTGGCGATGTTCATGGAGTTTACGGACGCGGACCATCTACGGTATTTCTACCATGTCCATTTCCCGGCCAAACGTCGTTGCTGAAACCCGGCCACACAACGCGGATTTCACTTGTTGCAGCGGTTGGCCACTTTCCATAGGGCTTAGTAGGAGACGTGCTTGGGCCAATGGTTTGTTGGCGTCTCCCGTCTCTTCTGACCGGGTTTTGGTGCCCCGGAATCCCGCGCAACTAAACTCCGCAATGGCCGGCTTTTGACATTGCAACACCAAAGTTCCAAAGACATGCATACACAGCAAGATGAAGAGCAGCGCCCCTAAGGAAATGCATTTTGCTTCAGGTCGTTGATCGTATTAGAATATTCTATTCTTTAGGTCATGAGTCATTCGTCGTCCTCGACGCAATTGTTGCTTTGGTCTTGGGAAAAAAAAACATCCAAGATGCATGAATGCATCCGCAGCGCTATGCTAGAAAGAAAGCCGCTCCAAATCAGACACCAGTGACGTTATTGAAGTTCGTCACCTGGCATGTCGGGTATTCCACAAATCCTCCGCGTTCCCCCTGAACAGCCTGTCCACCAGCACATCGTCCTTATCACACCAGTCCAGCACCGTCTCCATCCACGGCCTGATATCCAGCCCCTCAAACCGCGTATGCGGCCAGTCCGTCGCGAAAATCACCCGGTCTTTCCCCCGCAGCCGCAGCACCTCGCGCGCAATCGGCTCGAGGTCGCTGTGGTCCGCCATGCTGCTCAGCCGGTACGGCGCCGAGAGCTTGACGTACGTGCTGCCGGCCTTGAGCAGCCGCGCCAGCGCCCGAAACCCCCTCATCGAGTACGGGTCGCGCGCGGGCATGTCCTGGACGCTGGGGTGGCCGAGGTGGTCGATGCACACGCGCACGCCGAGGCGCGGCACCACCGGCTCGAGCAGCTCGATCATCGACATGGGCATGTACACCTGGATCACCCAGTCGAGCGGCCGGCAGTCGTCCGCGTACTTGAGTAGTAACTCCTCGAGCTGGGCGGCGGTGAGGGACTTGCCGACGGACGAGAGGTTGATGCGGACGCCGCGCACGCCGAGGCGGTGCCACTCTTTGAGGGTGCTCTGCGGGACGGATCCGGGCTCGAAGGCGACGACGGCGCGGCCGCGGCGGGGGCCGAGGGCGCGCAGGGCGTCGAGGAGGCAGGTGTTGTCTGTGCCGTAGATGGAGGGCTGGACGAGGACGATGTTGTCGATGCCGACGGAGGACTCGAAGGCGAGGGCATGCTCGAGGCGGTGCGTCGCAGGGCAGTAGACGGCGTCCTGTGCCAAGGGATATGCGGCCGGGTCGACGACGTGCATGTGGGAGTCCCACGCGCCGCGGGGGATCCGCTCCGGGAGGGTCAGGCGGCGGCGGGCGGGTGTGAGGAGTGTTGGTATTACTTTGTCGTTCCTCGATGAGGAGGATGAAGGGTTGATTAGGGGTTGGAGGAGAGCCATGATGGTTCGGAGGTGGTGGTAGAGGTGGGAGTGTGCGTTGAGGATGCGCATCTGGATCATGGTGAGGGCGGCTGCTCTTTGTGTAAGAGCGGCGGGGAGAGCCCTATCAGTGGGAGATGAGGAGGAGGAGGAAAGGGCGGGGGGAGAGTGATAGACTCGAGGCTCGGGCTTGATGCCGATTTGATGGCGAGGAGTGTCTAGGGAAGCAGCGGTGGTGGTATTGGTGGTGGTGGTGGTGGTGGTGGAATAAGGGCGCTTGCTGGAAAGGCATGGAAGGGATGAATCCTTCTCCTCGCGAGAACAAACTGGCGACTGGACCGAAGACGAGGAGAACAACGACGACGACAGGAGGAGAAGCCCGGGGTTTCGGTGATCCGCAGGTACTGGCTGCTGCGTCTGCTGGTGGTGGTACTGCTGCAACGACTGCGGACGATGGCGATGACGGCGGCGGTGCGCCTGCACATATGGACGTCGGCCCATTGCGGTTGCTGAGAATCCGCCGACTGTCCGGGTTGTTGAGTGGATCATCTGAGTTGCAGCCGCATATCACTCGACGAGGGCAGGAGTATCCGTAAGAAGGTTTTCCTGATCATGTAGGGGCGAGCCCGCAGTTTCTCGGACAGTCTCCAGCAGGAAGATGGGAGGAGCAAGGCAAGGCCAGACAAGCCAGTGGCAGCAATAGTGGAGGTGGTTGAGGGCAAAACTGCAAAACTAAAACCTTGAGGTGTCGTCAACAAGCCACCAGACGAGAGAGGTGAGGTGCAGGTTTCTGGTTTTGGAGGAGATCTGATCCTCGGTGGGCGGTGTCGCCTCGGAGGATGACCGATGTGCTTCTCGACCAGAGTCCAGAGCCTAGTGAAGGGAGTGAGTGGTGTTGAGTGTCAATGCCCATTGGTTTGGGTGTGTATTGGGTTTTGCGCGCAACTGCTGTGTAGAGACTACGGATACACACAATACACGCATATCCATCCGGACATGGGCTTCAACTATTTTGAGAAGTGGTTCCGTCCTCCAGGAACATGGCCGACGGGCGTGCATCTGCAAACTGCATCGGCCAGTGCGAGGTCCATTGCATGGATTAACGGGGTCGGGGCATTGCAACAGCGGGCGGGCGGCAGCGTTTCCAGGCGTCTCTACAGGCGCGTTTGTGAGGGCAGCGCTGAGCAGAAACAAACAGGGCAGAAATTCTCTTGCTCTCTTTTTTTTCTTTCCTTGACGTCGCCACGAGTCATTGCGGGCCGCATGCTGTGGGCGGCCGTCCTGCCGGAAGTTGACCGAGCTGGGTGAGCTGTGAGATGAGATTGAGCGAGTGAAAGAGAGTGAGTGATGAAAGTACTTGCGCAGGCAGATACAAGTGACTTGCATTATGTAAGATGCCGATGTATAGACTGAGGACCTTAGGTAAGTGCCTTAGCTAAGCAGAGAGAGAACCTTGAGGGAACAGAAAAGCCCAGACCACCTCTGTCTTCCGGAAGCGGGCCGTAGATACCGCGAGATGCCAAAGTATCCCACCACTCTGTTTAGCGTGGGAGCTACTTCTCGTCCCTTGCGTTAGTCACCCCCCCGACGCGGCACTTCCATTGGATCGGTGATGTGACGGCAATGGCACTGGATGAACGCAACTCCCGAGTGGGGGGGCAGCACCTCAGCAGCATTACTAAGGTTCTCTCCTCACAGTCACACTGCTGTAGAGGTGCAGTCTCTCTGCCTCCAGCCTGCCGGTGTCTTTTCCCCCCTTCACAGTTCGTTCGGTCAACGTCCGATGTTTTGCACCCCCCTTCATCCCCCACCCCGCCCTGCACGAGATCCTCCTCCGCGCGCGATCGACCACTGAACGAAATCGTGGGGTTGGGCCTCCTCCTCTGGAACCACCAGGGCCCAAAATCCGGAGAAGAGGCAAGCGAGAGGCGCTGCTGCTGCACCCCGTGGAGGATTTGTGCAACCCCGCGATTGCTGCTGCCACTGCTGCTGTTGAGAAGCAGAGAGAAGACGACGACGGCAGGAAAAGAGTGAGGCGACGGGGGAGGCGACGTGGTGTGATTGCGTGTCGGAAATAGGGGGCGAACACAGACACTTGGACAAAAAAACTTTTTTTCTCTTCATTTCATCTCAATCCAGCATTTGAACAACTCAATTGCTACAAACCCGCGCCGCGCTCCCCTTTTCTGGCGCCCGCAACCGTGTTCGAACGAAAGCCGTCACCCCCGGCCCAGATCTTCTGTCCCTGAGAAATCTTACCCCGGGAAAATGGTCGACTTCAACGCCTACTATCTGCTGACTATTGTTGTTATCGCGTGCGGGTCTATCCCCAAGGGTGAGTCTGCCCCCCAGCCCATTGTGCGGTCAGGTCGGGTCACCGCATACGCGACCGTGATCTGTCACCTTCTCCACCGCAAACCCTTCTCCCCCTCCGTTCGCGGTGTGCATGTCCATGTGTGAGTGAGTGTGCTGATGGGTCCAACGACGCAGGCTACGATGAGGGCGGCTTCAGCGCCTCCACGGGCCTGACCTCCTTCAAGGAGGACTTCGGCCTCGTGTCGAGTCTGTGGAAGGGCAACGAGTCTGGCCTCGCCGACCGCAAGGCCAACATCTCGTCGTTTGGCGTCCTCGGCGCCGCCTTTGGCTCCATCATCGCCCTCGCCCTCAACGACAGGCTGGGCCGCCTGCGCTCATGGCAGGTCTTCATCGCCGTGTGGATGTCGGGCGTCCTGATGCAGGTCTTCTCCTCCGGCATCCTCGGTCTCATGCTCTTCGCCCGTATCTGGGGCGGCCTCGGCGCCGGCGGTCTCACCGTCGTCGCGCCGCTCTACCTGTCTGAGATCGCGCCGGCTAAGTCGCGCGGCATGGTCGTTAGCATCTACATGGTCGTCCTACTATCGTTCCTGACCATTGGTGAGTTAATATTTCCCCGTCACCCTCGGGACTTGCCCGGGCCCTCGGCGAACATCCGACTGACCGGTCCCGCGCCAGGTTTCTTCATCAACTACGCCGCCAACGCGACGCTAGCGGCCACTAGGATGCAGTACCGCCTCGTCATCGCGATCCCCCTCATCCCCGTCGGCCTAGCCTTCGCCGCCTCCTTCTTCCTCGCCGACACCCCGCGCTGGCTCGCCTCCCGGGACCGCGGCGAAGAGGCCCTCGCCGTACTCGCCAAGCTCCGCCACTCGGACCGCGCCGACCCGGCCCTGTCCCTCGAGTTCGACGAGATCCACGAGCAGCTCCGCTCCCGCCAGCAGATCCTCGCCGACACCTCCACCCTCGCCATCGTCAAGGAGATCGCCACCGTCCCCACCTACCGCACCCGCTTCCTCCTCGGCGCCGTCATGCAGACCGTCGCCCAGTGGTCCGGCGGCAACGGCATCACCTACTACATCCCCGAGATCTTCCGCTACGCCGGCGTCGTCGGCGACAACACCTCCCTCATCACCAGCGGCGCCTACGGCGCCGTCAAGCTCGTCTTCACCATGGTCTTCACCTGGGGCCTCGTCGACGTCTTCGGCCGCCGCCGCTGCTTCATCTCCGGCCTCGCCCTGCAGTGCGTCACCCACGTCTACATGGCCGTCTACATGGGCATCTGGATCGACGGCACCAACAAGCCCGCCTCCGACGCCGCCATCGCCTCCGTGTTTGTGTACGCCGTCGGCTGGTCCATCGGCCTGTGCACCGTGCAGTACCTCTACGGCACCGAGATCTACCCCACCCGCATCCGCAGCGTATGCTACGCGACCAACATGGCGCTGCACTGGTTCTTCCAGTTTGCCGTCGTGCGCACGACGCCCAACATGTTCGTCAGCCTGGACGTGTGGGGCGCCTACGTCTTCTGGGCGTGCGTGTGCGCCGTCGGGCTCGTCGTGCTGGGGCTGTGGGCGCCCGAGACGAAGGGCATCCCGATGGAGCGCATGGAGGAGCTGTTCAGCGGGCCGTGGTGGATGGGCTGGCGGGCGAGCGTCGACTTGGACGGGAGCGAGACGAAGCCGTTTGGGAGGGGGAGTTCGTCCGGGAAGGACTCGTCTGGGAGGGAGTCGGAAAAAGGGCCGTTTGCGCATGAGCGGAAGACGGATGCCTGATTACCTCGGCGTTTTGAGTATTCTTTCCTTGTAGAAACGTTTATATCATTCTTAATTGATATCCCTTTTATGACTTCACCACAGTTTTGGTACTGAATACATCTCCGGTGCCCAGCCCGTTCAGTCGGAGCCGGACCGGGTGAAAGTGGGTCTCTCCGGCCGCACCAGGTCCGCGAATTTGGAATCATGCTTCCGTGGCATGATTACAAGGTCTCATGATGCATGCATTCTGATTATCATGAAATATGAACAATTGAAATTTGAGTTAGCTTTTTCTGGTCGCCTCCTTAAGGCTCTGGGAACAACAGCAAGTAGCAACGTCATCAAGAGGCCGTTCCTCAAACCAACCAAGGATAACAAAGCTGGATAATTCCATGTCGCACAAGATTGAACATGTGTATTCCAGTCAAGCTGCAGAAACCAAAATTAGATAGAATTTGTGTTTCTTGGCGTTTCTCGCCCAGGATACCTCTCAGGAAAGAAGAGAATTACTGCCCGACTAAGTGTGCTGGTTCGAAGGAGCCGGGGTGTGACGCACTCTTATTTCAACGTCTGGTTACATTCTGCGCGTGACCGAAGCCGTGTTGGTCATTTTCGTGCTTGTGTAACTTGTGGCATCTCCCTGGGACTATGATTCTTCAATTTTTGGCAGGTTCTCTTTGAGCGCACATTTTCTTGATTTGAGAAGCGTATAATACTGCCACGAACAAAAAAGTGAGAGCAGCCATAGTCACTCGCATTTCATTGCTTCAAGCTTGATTTCGTATCATCGCAAGTCTCTAATTGCAGTCTTGAACTGAGTGTAAGTTTGAATTTTAACCTACGCGTACATTCGAGGAGCATATTGGGGTCCGCTCACCGACACCACATCAACACATGGAAGGTGCTCCATACAAAAACAGCTAAGAGAACGACACCAGTATCCTTTAGTCGTTGATTTGGCCACCGATTGAATATAATTCTAGTTGGGACAGTCTGCTTTTATCCTCGCGTCTGCATCTTCTCATGTCCCTAAAGCCACATGCCTTAACTCCTGAGCAACTGGACCCATCTCAGAATGGCCTTGCATACGTAAAATCAAACTTCTTCTGCAGCCCAGCCCGGTCCGCCATGCTCTTTGTCACAGCCTCATCACGCTGCGCGCAGAACTCAGGCGCAGCCACTCGCGCCAGCCCAACCGCCCGCGCGCCCTTGACCAGCAGCGACGTATGCGGCTGCTGCCTCGTCGCGTACGCCCTGAACGCCTGCGTGAGCACAGCCGTGCGCAGCTCTTTTTCCGCATTAAAATCCGGAATCTCCTTTGTGAGGTAGTAACAGTCCTCGCTATCTCCCGTCAGCCCCAAACCAACACACATCTTCGTCAGCAAAACTCACCAAGCCTGGTTCGCGCCCTGCCCGAGATGCACACTCGTCGGATGCACCGCGTCCCCGACCATGACACACCGGCCCGAGTACCACTGCTCCGGCTCGAGCTCGGGGCGGTCGTAGATGCCGTACTTGATGAGCCGCTCCGCCGAGGTGACCATCCCCAGCACGACGGGGTCCCAGTCCTTGGCCTGCAGCATCTCGGCCATCTTCTCCTTCTCGGCGGCGCGCTTCTCGTCGCCGAAGAGCCCCCAGGCGGCTTCCTCCTCGGTGTTGCCTGGGAGTGTCAGCCCCCAGGACGTCTTGTCGTGGGTGATGGGGTAGCTGATGATGTGGCTGAGCTCGCCGTACCAGTTCCGCGCGCCCGGGGTGTTGCGGAAGGCCTCGGGCGTGGGCGAGATGCCGGCGGTCTGTTCTGTGGTTAGTGTTCATGATGGGAGTATCATGAAGTGTGCTCACCTGCGTCAGCCCGGTAAACGACGGCACCCCCTCCTCAATGCCCCCACGCGCCAGCAACAACCTCCTCGTCGCCGCCTTCAACCCATCACACCCAACCAAAAAACACCCCGTCTCCTCCCTGCCCCCCTCAAAGAACGCAGTCACGCTATCCTCCCCCTCCTGAATCTGCTCCAGCTTCCAGCCCTCACGTACCTCCGCCCCGCTCTCCACCGCCAGCTCCCTCAACCACTCCGTGATCAGCGTCCGCTTGACGCCCACCGCCGGCTGCCCGTACCGCTTCGCAAACTCCGTCGGCACGTCGGAGCGGCCGAGGACCTCCCCGGACGCCTTGTAGTCGCACAGCTCGAGCACGGGCGGGCCGTTCTGGAGAAGCCAGTCGGGCACGGGACCGATCAGGTTGAGCACCTTGAGTCCATTCGGGCAGATCATCAGGGACGCGCCGACGTCCGCCGGCGCCGGGGAGCGCTCGAAGATGATGGGGGCGTAGCCTTTTTGCTTGAGCAGGCAGGCGACTACGGGCCCGGCCATGCCGCAGCCTATGATGAGGACTTTGGGCGAAGACATTATGAATCGTGTCACCGAGCAAGTACGTGATGTTGGGGCCTGGATGTGGACTTTTGGACAAGGTCTCCTCGTGATACGCCTCCGTTGTTGAGACAGAAGCTGCCGGGTCGTAGAGACTACGTCAGGCAAGGTTGTGGTCTGTTCTCCTCCCCGCCAGACGCTCGCTCCGCGGTTTCTCGGAATCGGAAGAAGAGACTACGGCTACGTCTACGTCACCTGACTCGCGAACACGGCGACTCCCCAACGCCCGTGAAACCCGCGGAAACCTACTTAGATAACAGCACTACAGGCGGCCGGATATAAGTATAAAGTTTTCAGGGTCCCCGCTCAGGTTGTCAGAGACGTGGCGGCGGGAGAGTTCTTCGCTGCATCAATCCGAACCGGCGGGTCAGACATTCTGTGTCGACCTGCACTAGTCGAGACAGTGCTCTGCCCGTCGTGCGCCTGGGTTGTAGCCTGCATGCGCTTGCGAGGCTAGACCAACGTCTAATCCGACTGCGTAGATTGCTGATCCGAGTGCGCGGCTTCTAGTTCGAAGCGCTAGGACTTTGACGTCGGGGACATCCAGGCACACAGACTGTTAGTTTCTAATACGAAAAAGGCTTGTACCCGAGCTAGCGCACGTGTGAATCAAAGATTGGATGCGAGGTTGCTACGCTTCCCCATGCTGCGGTTTAAACTTTCTGACTCTGCATATCGTACAAGTGGGCGGCCGGCAACCTGAACAACTCCGACGAACACACAACTCCTGCGGACAAGTTCCCACCGCAACGCAACTCATCGTCTATCCCTTCAAATTTTGGACTTGTCCACAACACACACAAGCTTCGTGCCTGAAACCTTCCCGCTGCGCAGCTCCTCGAGCCCGCCGCCCACATCGTCCAGCGTCTCGCCCACGACGCGGTACGGCAGCGGCTTCACATCCCCGGCCCCCACGAGCGCGGCCACCTCCCTGATCCACGCGGCCGCGAACTCCCGGTCCGCCGGGGAGGCCCCGCACTTGTACGGCGCGACCCAATCAACGGCGGATCCGAAGGCGCTCATCGCGAAGACCCAGGACGGCCGGACCGCGCGGCGCGAGTGGCTTGCGATCGGGAAGCTGTCGAGCGCCACGTAGCGGCCGCCCGCGGCGCCGAGGGCCTCGTAGCAGATGCGCATGGAGTCTGGCGTGGTGATGCAGTCGGCGGCGTGGGCGAGACGGTCGGCGGTGAGGGCGCGGATGTCGGCGGCGCAGGTTGGGGAGGTGTAGTCGAAGGCGGCGGCGGCGCCGGTGGATTTGACGAGGGGGAAGTTGTGCGGGGAGCAGGTGACGATGGGGATGTAGCCGCACCTGGGGAGGATTAGGTTACTGGTTGTGAGAGGAGCGGGAGAGGAGGCTTACTGTCTTAGCAGTTGGATCATGAAGAGGCCGGACGCGGTGCTGCCACCGTATACCAATACATGCCGATCGCCATCCGCGGGCGCGGTTTTGAGCTTCATGGTGTTGTGAAGCACCATGCCGCCTGTGAGGAGACCGCAGGGAAATGTTGCGGCCTCTTGGAAGGAGATATTGTCTGGTATTCGGAAGAGCAGGTGCTCCTCTGCCACGACGTACTCTGCAAACGCGCCCGTGGCTTCGTCATTGTTGTTGTATCCAAAGGCCACGCCGCACACTCGGTCTCCTGGCCGTATGTCTGAGGACACATTCGCGCCTTTTGACATGACGATGCCCGCGAAGTCGAGGCCTGCCATTGAGCCTTGCGGCATGCCGGCCTGCACCATCTTGGCGTCTGACGGGTTCAGGCCGACGCATGCTGTTTTGACGAGGACATTTGTTGGTGATAGGTTTGGTGTTGAGACCGTGATTACTTTTGCTGTTCCCGGTCCCTGGACGACTATTGCCCTCCTCGCTTTCGACGGTTGTGTCATGGTTTGTGATGATGACTTTTCGTAACTCGCTGCAATGGATAAAGTGTCGAATACATTCTAGTAGTGATGCAGGTAAAGACAGACTTACACGAACTGCTCGTTCGGTCTTCCCCCATGACGGATGAAGATTCCATCGGGAGGATTATTTGAGCCGAATCGCCGTCGTGCTCCAAGGTCCCTCCAGAACGACACTACGAGTCAGCAATCCTCCCTGAAGACTGACATGAAGTCGCCATTTGAACGCGACGAGATAACAGCTCCGACGGCGAGTTTACAAGAGACCCCCTCGCATAATGAGACAAGCCTAGCCGCCCCCCGCTGACTCGTGGATTAACCCCCACCCGCGCTTCACTCTGTAGCCAACGAATGCAACTGGCCAAGTCCCCATTCTCTAAGGTTTGTCCCACCCCCTATTGATCTGGAAACTTTCACAGTTGCATCTCAGCTGTACAGACTAAAAATTAGAGTTAGAATCGGTTGTACCGGCGGGTTTCTTTCTCAATGCGCTGCTGAGGGAAACGACACGTACGTTGCAACAGAGACACTAAGTCGCGAGAACGATCGTCAATGATACTTTCAGGCGAAACCTACCCATACTATTGGGACGAATAGTATCGGATGGCAGGGTAAGGTGTGCAAAGAGAGAGAGAAAACGTGCTCTAGACTTGCGCGTATTTGTTTCCTCTTTGGGGGCCGGGTGGTAT